AATCTCCGTGTTATTAGCAGTGTTTTCTGTGTCAGCAAGAACACATAGTTTCCCTTTGTAGACAATCCCAAAATCACCTTCATCAAGGAGACTTTCTATAGTAAAAGATGATCTCAGCACACAAGTTTTTGGATTTGCATTCAAATACAGATTTAGCCATTCTAACAGCTTCGTTTTGCAAAGAACAGATTGATGTCCTCGTGAAAAATATTTTAGTTGTTGATGCAATAGTCTTTGTGATAAAGATGTAAGTATTTTTGAATTGTGAAGTTTTATTTCTGTATGGTTTATACTGATTTTAAAAGTATCGGACCGAGAATAAGCACTACATTGTGATGATGATGTTGTGACTCCATACATCAAATTCATCTTGCGGAAAAAAATGGCACATCTTGACTTAGCATGTTTTTGCAGAAAATCAATAGGTATACAGAATACAGGTCGCGATGACTTTCGCCTATCCCATATACAATATATTAATATTAGTTGAATAGTTGCTATTGTTATAAATATAATCATCCAAACAAGAATAGATAGGACAAATCTACAAATAAAATCTGTGGTACAATATTAAAAATAAATTGCAAATAGGGAAATACCATTTGGCAATAGAATATTTTCAATAATCTAGTTCACACTGATGATCGTTCACACAAAAGTGTTTTCATGTTCAAAATGAAGACAGCCAATGTTAATTATGAATTTCATGATTCATCATATAACATTAGGAAAGTATGGTTTTGAAATTGTACAATTACAAATTAAAAGTATAACATTTGCATGTATTTAGTGCGTCGTCTGTCTGCTAATCTTCTCATGATAAATATATATCTATTAGGCTGACCACCGACTGCCTCGAAGAGTTATGTTTTATGGTGTAGGAGTAGTTTGAAAAAAAGCCAGGGACGGCCAAACCAAAACATGGCACAAGTCCATGAAGTCACTGACAAGTGGACTGAGTCATGTTGGTAGATGTAGACTACCTGGTTGGGGTCCGCAAAATGTTACTTATCGATGGTTGGAGACCCTGAGTAACATGGCTCAGAACCGTTTGCAATGGCGCAGGTGCATCGATTGATTGTGTTCTCCCAATTTCTAATCTTCAGAATTCCTCACCACCTCTCTCTTTAATTTCACTAGATTGTAGTTCTTGAATAATATCTTCGAACCCCAATCTTCTCCGATTACCGCTAATACTTCTACTATCTTTACCACTATGAGATTTGAATCGACACTCTCGTCTCTGTGCTATGTTGCATAGTAACCTGAACTGATGTACGTACGTACGAAGTTCTACGTTGTTATCAACTGATTGACTGACTAATGATCGAAACTCGTCGATCAAATGACATGAACCACTAGTCTAAATGAATGGATATATCAGTAATCAGTTTTGTTACATTAGTTGGAGGAAATCAACTGCGCTGTCCTCTTCCATATTGTCTACAACTTTTCGATACTCAAAACACGCAAACATAACAAGCAGTTGTACATTCTCTGACCGAATCCAGAAATTATAGGAAATGACGAACAACGAACAGTCCCACGACCTAATTTCGTCAATCCTCCAGAACTATACAAAAATTTGGTGATTTGTAATTCTTGAATACCAACTACTTGAAAGTAGTCAATGTGGCTTTCATTAAAACGATGTCTTTTTGACATGGAATCGTTAAAGAAACGCAAAACAACAAACCAACTACTGGATGTGATTACATCACAACATCATTGAATGTCTATCAACAATCGCTTTTAAAAATACCATTGGGAGGCATTATCAATGATCAAGCTGATGGCATTTTCTTTCATCACAACACTAATTTGTTTGTATCATATATGGTATCAAACTGTTTACAAAGTTTCACCATAAATCGAAATCTAGTCGGTACACTTTACGGTTACAAAAATATCTGTTGAAGACAGTATTACATAACTAGACCCAAACACTGGGGTGTTCGATAATAATGAGACTAAAACTGGTAAAATGAGCACGAGTACTCGGAATCTTTGGAGTCACGTAGCGAATGTGGAAATTCATTTGAAAACTAGCAGTCAATCGAACCGAAACGCATGAGACAGACAGTTAATATTGAGTTTCCTGGATTATACTTCACTGAAATATCGGTAAGCATAAAGAAATACAAATAATAAATCTTTCTAATAGGACTAAATCACCTAGCACTTGTTCGTGCTTACACATATACATATGGTTGTCTATACCGTCTAACAAACGACGCTACAGCTTAGTCACCTAGGCCAGCTAAAAAAATCACAACAGATAATTGTCACTACTTTTTAGTATTATAGGGGCTATTCACACAAAGTACATCACAAAATTATCTAGCGCATTTTTAACGACAAGCCAATAGGTAATCACACTGACAAAAATTAATGACGGATAAGTATCTGTTAAGCTACAGCAAGATTTTAGACTGGCTAGGAAATTAAAATCCTTTTCATATCAAATGACCACTACTTAAGATTAATAAGACTATATTCAAGTCCTTCCTTTTAACGGTTTGTGGTTATATCTTGTTTGAAAAAACTACCCCAATACTCACCTTGTGATGGGCGAACATATGCAGAGTGCCTAGGCAACAACGCCCCCGCATTCAGACAACAGATCTCAAGCATAAATTCGATTATCCAATAAGCAAACTATATTTAAATATACACAGTACTGCACTAAAATGAGTGATAAACGCACATATTCACACATAACAGGTGAGCCTTAATGTAATTTGAAGAACAAAATAAAGGCTGATGGGCTTGAACCCTTCCGCCTAACCAGCCTACACCCACAATATGCATGTTTGATCATGTTAATGATCTCAAACAATACATTGCCAAAAAATTAAAGCTTTGGGATTTGATTAACACATCCAATACACAAGCTAGTGTTGGTAACCAGAATAAGCTATTTCTGAGACACACTATGTTTTCTTCCAGTTTCTACCGTATGAAATATGATTAGGTTTGGTTAGCAGTCCGATTCTCTACGTTTTCTTATTAAAGAGTAGTGAATTAAAATCATGATTTTCACAAAAAAATCAATTAAATAGCTACTTCCGCTACACAAATGTGGCCGAACAAAGTTGGCGAAAGGGTTGTGAAGTATTTTTTTTACAGATGTACATGAACTACTCCAATTTACTATTTCCTGTTTTCCTCTAGGACGGTGATATTCCAACGATATAGCTGATTAGATCATTTAGAGTATGATGAATTCAGTCACATTAATTTTGAACAACCAAATATAACGACGTTTTCATCGAATATTCGGGACTTATTGGGCTACAGTTCTGCCACCAATTGATTCCAAAGTCTAGGACATTGTCGTACATTGTAAAATATAGTTTAGTTGTAAGGTGCTTGACTAGTGAGAACGAAGCTGTATTTCATTGTGCATTCAATAATCAAATTACTGAAGACCGAAATACAGGTAGCTAAAACTCAAGATATGCTTGAATAAAGGAGTACATCTCGCTTTATTTCATTTACAGCGTGTTTTGACGGAACTGCTGTGAACTGACCATAAATTTTGAATTTCTTAGTCGGCAGCATTACGTAGGCAGCCTTGAAAAGGTGTTGTTCGCAGAGACCACATCAACTGATGGCTTTTAACGTTATTGAACGAACGAGGTCACTCTACATAAACCGAAGGATTTACTTCAAAACATTAACAAACGGCAATTTAATTGTGTTCTTGTTTAGACTGTTTCTCTTAAAAACCTGATTTATTACGATTGTTACTATCATAATTCTCTCCCTCCTTGTGACGAATGGCGTTCCGCTCTCTGAGCTGGAGGTTTTGGTTGTTGAGCTTTCACTGTTCTTCTGAACAACATCAGCACAAACTCCTTCTTCACAACAAATAGTCTGTGATTCACAATGAATCGATCTTCTAATCTTATGGTAAATACATCAAACAATCTCTTCCTTTGTCTCGTGATTCCTTGAACCCATTATATATTTATACAAAAGTAGAAGCATGTACAAAAACAGATCGTTTCAGGTTGTCATGCTTTATAACTCCATAGTGTACAGAATTACCAAATATTAGAATATTATAGCAACTATATTTTGTGGTTACTTTGCTTTCCACAACACTCCGGCCGAGTTGTGAGCTAAATGAGGGAACTATTGGTCAAAGGGATGTCAAATAAACAGAGCTTGTACTGCATAAACAACTTGAATCATTTAGTGCCTTACCGATAATTTTTGATCAGCAAATATTAAACCAGGTAATCTATACACTACGTCTACGGAGTCAAATAAAAAGTATTCAATGGCGTTGGTACTCAAGCAATAACAATAAGATAATGAGTAACGCTACCCATCACTATTTACTACATAAAATAAAAGGCACGGTTCAGACTGTTAAGAAATCAACAGAGCCAAAATCTAGTTTCCATATCACGAGCTTCGAATACAGTATAATAACAATATCTAATTTCAGGAACCTAATGAAGATACTCATTTACATTATGCAATACCCTGATGGTTGTTAGCAAATTGTTACACATGGATCACATGGTCGACATAGAATAGCAACAAAACCAATAAAAGTAATAGATAATACTACAAAATGGTCAATAAGAAACAGAAAAACGTTTGGAAGGGAAAGTTTTACAAAATGTAAAATATTAAGTCTTATCTGTGCTACTCATTCCGATACTGATGAAAGGCTTTGACTATGTCTTACTTTCGAAATAATCTCCAGTAATCATATATGGACACTCATACGTTTCAAATTAAGTGACAAAGGCTCCTACGTATGAAGTGATCCTTTTCGGTCTGTTCCAGGTGTTTTTAAACCTCATCAGGATCGGTGTAATAGACTGAAGAGAAACGCTACATAAATCCAATATACCTCAGCGGTCTTTTCAAATGTTAGTAAGTATAGACGACTACATATATAAATAAATGCTAACGTTTCTCATTTACTATAATTCCGATATACACAAAACTAATAATACAAAAGGGACAAAAGAACTCACTTGATTTTGAACAATCCGTGACTGTAATTGTGATATTTTTATAAAAGTAATCATTTTTGCATATATACAATCCATCATCTCTAAAGGACAAATTTTCTAGTTTCAATGTAATACTGTTGTCAAGTCTTGGATAACGTTTCTCAATAATCTTTAAAGAATCTAACGCTTTTGATGCCTAAATTTACAGGAATGTAGAACAAGAGGAAACTGTTTGTAATAAAGCAACGAAGATTAAGGTTTGTTTTAAAAGTCTTAGTAATTCAGAAATCAGTCAGTCAGTAAGTTACAGAGGGGGAACCTCGTACATGAGTACATAAGTTCAGGTTGCCAAACCGTATCAGCATAGAAAAAAAAAGTCAGTTTAAAACCAAAGGCAGTAGCGACAGTAGCAGTATAAGCAGTAGTGGAGAAGATTGGGTTCGAAGATATGATTCGAGAAAAATAATTCACTGTGATAAATTTAGAAAGACAGATATGATCAGGAATACATAAGGTTAGAATTCGAGAGAAAAAAAAGCGTGTATGAACCTGTGCCATTACAAACGGTTTTGAGCCATGTCACTCAGGGTCTCTAACCATCGATTATTATTATCTCGCTTACCCCAACCAGGTAGTCTGCATCTACCAACATGACTCACTCCACTTGTCAGTGACCTCCTGCATTTCTGCCATGTTTTGGTCTGGCCACCCCTAGCTTTCTTCCAACCTATTCCTACACCGCAAAATATAGCTCGTCTAGGCAGTCGGTGGTTAAGCATACGCAACACATGTCCCAACCACCTCAACTGATGAAGTTTCACTAATTATCTACTGATCTGCCATCCTTAGCTAGAACTCGATCCCAAATATAGCTTTGCCTATTCAGTTGTGCCTCGATACACGGGCAATGCTTCGAGGACATCGATAATCGACGCACGTTGGAAACAACCAATCGAGCCACCTGTATCCGTGCTGAGTTTTCGTCACGTGCCAGGCCATCAGCACTAATCAGACTGCCAATATAAGTGAAGCGGTCTACACGCTCAAACACTTCACTCCCTATCACTAGTTCAGGTACCGATGCAACCCAATCTTGAAGCAACATTTTGCATTTTGAGGTGGAGAAGCGCATCCCGAACATGCTTACATTGTTGCATAGGGTAGTCAGAAGACTGATTTTGTCGGCATATTCACCAAGTAGAACTATGTCATCGGCATATTCTCAGTCAACAAGCGAGTTTCCCGGTAGAAGGTCTATTCTTGAATAGTCAGACGAAGACAATGTTATGTCTAGAAGCAAGTCTATGACAAAGTTAAGCAATAATGGAGAAAGTGGACAGCCCTGACGGACACCACTTGAAGAAATCAATTCCGATGACAGTTCTCCATAAACTCTAACTCAGGCAGTTGTATTCGAGTAGAGAGATTGTATAGGGTGAATGTTCTTCTTTGGTACACGTTTTAGTGACGGACACTGCCACAGAAACTCACGATCAACAGAGTCAAATGTCGCTTTAAGGTTCAGGAAGACAACTAACGTCGGACGCTCAAATGTGTGTCTGAGTTCTAGGATGTGTCGTAGTGTGAATGGATATGTGGTTTATACATCCACGTCCAGGTCTGAAACCAGCCTGGTTTCCTCGAGTCTGCTCTTCACGAGCTCTCGTTAGGCGTCGGAGTATTAATGAGGCCAATATTTTAGATACTGTATTAGTTAAACAGGATTCCTCCTGTGATTGTCACAAGAGGACTTTCTCCCTTTCTTATAAATTGGGACAATCAGTGATTGAGACCAGTCAGATGGGATTATGTCCAGTTCCGTAATTCTAAATTTCATCTCAGTCAATCTAACTGCAAAAACTGGACCACCATCCTTAAAACTCTCACGGGTCAATTTATCTGGCCAATTATTTTGATCCCTTAAGTATTCTGCCCATCGATGGAATCTCCTGGGTTGAGAACGATACATACGCCTATCCTTTTCCTAGTTAGTTTCGCTAACAGATGGATTCCTAATACCAGTTTCCTTGATAAGGCGGAACAGTTGTCTACCGTTACCTGTCATCGCTGCCTTTTCCATCGATCTTGCTTTCGCTACCCACCACTGTTAGCGATCATTATGTAAGCTCATTATGTGTCCTCGGTCGAATCCCTCCATCGGTGGTTGATGGCGATGTGATCTAGTTTGGTCCAGCTTCGGGACAAAGTTGTGGGTCGTCAGGTCAGAAGTTGTGTTTATACTTATACTTACAGTTAGTGCCTTCTAGAGGTTGGACGATTATAAGAGCATAGTTGCAGTAGACGGTTGCCATTGTTTGTTCGATTAGCCGTGACGCTATAAGATGCATCCAGATATCTTTTAATTTTTCTTAGTCTCTTCACATGAGCCTTGAAGTTTCCTGCCATCATTATTACATCAGAGTGCTTAAGGTTTTGAGGTAGACTAGAAAACTTTCTGTAGAACTTGTCTTTTACCTCGTCTGAACTGCAGTCAGTGGTAGCGTAGGCAGGGACGACGAAGAGGCAACAGTGAGATTCCCGATCTTTACGAGTCCTAACTGTCCTATTTAGTCGGACAGCGCACAAGCGACCGGTATAAGAGAGCTTGTTCTGCCATACCACTCAATGATATACCTACAGCAGTGACGACACGGGGAGTGGCAGCAGGGCTTCCTGATACACGAAGCGTAAACCGAGTTGATTCTCTATCTGGACATGGTGAAATCAATCCTGTATGCGCGTTTAGGAGACGCAGCATACATTGATGACTCGAGATTCTAGAGTTTTAGCTAAGGAAGCTTGTTGTTCAATTTGACACAATGTCCGGACAATACCTGTTCCAACATGTAATTTAGAACAGGCTTTTAGGAGACCAGGAATAACGTTTTGTGAACTCGCATCATTTGCACTAGCGCTGCAGGGTGATGGAGAAATATGAGTAGAGTTAGTCGTGGAGATAAGAGAGATGTTAGAAGGTGTAGAGAGGATTTGATTGTGACCCATTTGGTCTCGTGTGCTGTTACGGGTATGGGGTGGATGTCACTTCCTGGCTGCCCACACCGTGAAAGCGTGTTTCTTGAGGAACCTGAAAAAGAAACCGGCTTTTTGCTAGCTCCGCTCTTATTTAAAAGGCCTTACCACCGCAGACGGAAATCCGTGAGGTTACGTGAGGTGTGGCATTCTTAGGGTCGACCTTTTCTAACCCCTTACTTCCTTGTCAGAAGGCAGCATCACTGCAGATGCTTGTTGTCCGAGGGAAACACCTCACTGCTGTCACACCCCTCTAAAGTCAGCAATACGATTTGGCCCTCACACCTTGACTTGCTGATTTTAGTCTCACCGTTCTCCGATCGACCTGGCTGGCATGGTAGGAACTACAGGAACTTATGTTCCAGTCAATATAGCTCGGTTGGGTCATCACGATAAGCAAGACTGACCACCACGTCGCGTAGCATCTTCGGTCGGCAGTACTTTAGAAAGCCATAAATTTCACTCAAGAATAACTGAAAGCACTGGAAATTATCGATTCTGAGTTATCATAGAGATGAACTTCGGCCCATATTAAGTAGTTTATTAAGTATTCAACACTTAGTACTGATCTCCCGACCGTAGCTGCTACCTTGACTTGATGGTCGAGCCTGCCTATCGTCATGACCCAACCGAGCTATACCATGCCAGCCAGGTCGATTGGAGAACGGTGAGACTAAAATCAGCAAGTCAAGGTGTGAGGGCCAAATCGTATTGCTGACTTTAGAGGGGTGTGACTGCAGTGAGGTGTTTCCCTCGGACAACAAGCATCTGCAGTGATGCTGCCTTCTCTCGAGGAAGGAAGGGTTAGAAAAGGTCGACCCTAAGAATGCCACACCTCACGTAACCTCACGGATTTCCGTCTCCGGCGGTAAGGGTGCCCACTAAGGGCTTTTAAGAGCGGGGCGAATACTCAAAAAACCTTTCATAAAAAGGCCGTGCGTGACAGGCCTCAATCAGTTGTCCCTTGGGCACTGCGGTCACGCTCCCTGGTCTCTAAGATCGTCAATAATCTACCTTCTTCTACAGGTTCCTCAGGAAACAACCTTCCACGGTGTGGGCAGCCGGGAAGTGACAACCACCCTCATACCCGTAACAGCACGAGAGACCAAATTGGTCAAAATCAAATTCTTCTAACAGTACTGATCTCATTGGTTTGAATAAACCGCACTTAGTTGAACTTACGTACACAAGTATTAATTCCGATCTTAATAACACATGTAAATAAACTGCTTATGCACTCTAGATAGTTAAGGAATCTAGCCTTCGCTTAGTCTCTCTTCAAAGAACCAATGTTCATCTCATATCAGTAAATTCAATGTCTGACTGAAAGCCCATTCAAAATATCGAGGTATAACATATTTGAAACTTGATATTGGCATCATGACAGCCTCTGTCTAGAGAAATTGCGCACATATTTTTGAGTAACTTGACTAATACAAATGTTACCAGTAATTTTTGTAGATCTACAAACAATACTGTTGGTGGACCTAAAGATCTATACCTCAACCTCAGTCAGAACTTTCGTACTTATTAAAATAAATCATTCTAACTAGTAGGTAATAACAAGTGTATCTAACTTTTCCATGTAGATTGAAAAAGTAATAAAATGACATGATATAACGTTGACTTGTATCTTAAATCAAATTTGCTTCATGATTAATAGACTATCGTACAAGCAATACTTCTACAAGAAGATATGTAAAATACACTTACACGTGTGACCAGGTATTACCAATTTTAAAACTCAGACCACTGAGTCAAATCTGTTTAGGCTACTTGATTTAGTTGTATTTAACGAAATTGAATATAACGAGTTCATCAAACTTACTTTCAAAAGCCTCGGTTGTTGGTTAGGTTGACCCAAATGCCATACTTCTAAGGGACTCAATGTTCGTGGGAGCTGACATATAAGATTTACCTCTTCGGATAAACAAGTTGATTTATTTGATAAATAGAATCGAAATCCAATGTACGTTGTTAAACTAAGCGTTGATATGTCTAAAGAACTATTTTTCTTTGTTGAATATTTCCCAGTAGACGTAGTGAACAAATCAGAGTGAACAATATCACTGTTTACGAAGCTAGAATTGACTTCACTTGGTATACGCAACTCATCAAATAACTCAAAATTCGGTGCTTCCAACTCTGATAAATCTGTATGACTAAAGTAACAGTTTCAAAAAAGAATATTTACATAAGATGTAAATGAGTCTAAAAATTGTACGATATGGAAAAGTTAAGTACGTTAAATCTCAATCTCATAAATGAATACAAAATGAAGCTGTGTTTCATCTGTTAGAGATATTCACTACACTGATATTTTTATGTTTAAGGTAAAACAAGAGTTTTATAGGCATTTTAAAATCGAGAATCGTAATGTTGTTTAGACTGAATGCTACCTAGAAACATTTTATACTTACAATCACAAGCAAACTTAAAAAAAGACAATACATTAAAATAAATTCGAGTACTTTAAAAAGTTTAAACCTAATACATACTCGCAGTTTTGGTAGAATCATTATAGATTACTATTCAGGACCACAGTTAAACACTAGAGTTGATTATTCAGAGAAGCAGAGTCATTCATAACACCACATTTGCCTGCGTTCATACTTATTAAACATTCCGTACTATTAAACTTACTTTTTTCATTGTTTTCTCATCTTCTTTGTACCCATTAAATGGAAACTTATTCAACATATTTTTTGTTTTTTCCTTACTCTTCAGGTAAGAACACTGCAACACCTAAGATGGCCTAACATTTGATAAAGTAATCACTTCCTATCTAATAATAAATCACTGTCTGTTGGACTACTATGCATACAATTACAAAGCCTAAGTTAGTTGTTATATTGCCTATAAATGTTTCTCAGTTAAATTGTCGCCATTCCTTTAATTACCCACTGATTTGCAATGGAATATCTAAATGTTAAACAGGATTTCTGTTACGATGAGCAGTGTCCAATATCTGATCGCAATACGTGATCACCCCTCAAAACTGGCTAGTTAGGTGAGAACACAACTCCGCCTGCAGTCCCTTCTGAGCTACTGCCGGTCCTAAGCCCGGATAAAGGAGGTGGGGTTGGTACCCCCATCCCAACTAAAACTAGCTTGCCAAAAAAACGCTAACCAGAAAAAATAATTCAAACCATTTTAACTCTGCCCTGGGAGTTGGAAGAAGAATTATGACGTCGCATGATGAAAGCCGAGTTCTCTCGGAAGTCACGAGGCTGATGCCTCTTCTGACAACCAGAGCAACCATTCTTTTAGGTACATGGAACGTTCGTACATTGTGGGAGACTTGAAGACTATTTCAAGTTGCGGTAGAAATGAAAAGATACAACCTCGAGGTGCTCGGCATCAGTGAAACACACTGGACACATGTAGGACAACTGAAACTAGCTTCAGGGGAACTCCCGTTATACTCTGGTCATGCAGAGGAAAATGCTTCACATACACAAGGAGTTGCACTGATGTTGTCCAAACGAGCACATAAGGCGCTGATAGGATGGGAATCTCATGGACCCAGGACCATTAAAGCGTGTTTCAAAACAAGAAAAGAGGACATTACAATGAAAGTCATCCAATGCTACGCACCTATCAATGACTACAATGACGACGTTAAAGATCAATTCTACGAAAGGCTGCAGTCAATCGTCGACAGATGCTTACCAAAGGATTTGACGATTTTTATGAGACCTGAACTCAAAAGTTGGCATGGACAACACTGGATATGAACACATCATGGGACGACATGGACGCAAGAGCAGATAGTCTATTTGGCTGCCAAATAATGTACACAAATACTAAATATATATTCCACCTCCTCAGGAAACTAATCCATTTCTCGACCAACGATGTGATCGTCCTTTAAGACATTTCTGAAGGCCTTGTCAAATGGTCTCATTTAGCCGCTTCTGGTTGGTCTAATGTGTCAGTTTCATTGTGTAAATCGAAATGGTTCAACCGTTATACAAACTGTTCACTCTCTGATTTTTAGAGAGTAGTCGATATTTCTAAATGACTATCTAAGGCTATCGAAATCCCGGAGTTGTTTACGAAGTCGTGAGCCTAGTATTAGATGCATTTTGTGAAGAAAGTACTGCACAAACCCTAAAGATTATCCGCCACAACATAATAACGACTCAACAAAAATGTCAAAAATACCTTAAGAAAGTTATTTTTCAAGAAGAGAAATTTCACACTTTGAAGGATTTTAAAACCTCACTTTAAATTAGGGATAAGTAAAGAAGTAACTTTCTGAAGAACTGTAAATGAGTTACTAATAGTCACGTCTGATTGATTTGGTGTTCGGATATTGCATTCAAAGGAGTCAGTCCCACTGATCGACTCGATTGTAATTTCTGTCATATAGCATCTCCCAGTTAGGTTGCGCTGAGTTTCTGAGAGTGAGGTGCAATTCAACTCAGTAAGCTAAAAAGTAGAGAGAAATCAAGACAATTTCTTGGGCTGGTCTGAACTGCACGTTAACAATATATAACGTGGAAAATTGTGTAAGCAGTTGTTACACCATTTGTTATAAAATAAGGACTGTCGATCATCCTTAAATCAAACCTGACCAGAAATTATTGAGAAACATTCTCATGGGTTTGGAAAGTCACAGTCACTAGTAAGAAACTCCCCGACTACACCTAGCCACCAACAATATCACCATCCCAAAACAAATAGCCTTTTATAAATCTCATTACTGTAATGAAAAGACTGGGCTGACTTATAGTGCAAACACATAGGTTTTCAAATTAACTCCATCTTACTGTTTTACCGGCTTCTTCACACCATTATCCTCCCAGTTAACTCTCAAGACATTTCTTATAACTATTCGCAACAGAGAAGGCAAAATGAAGAGTTGTGTAACCAAGGGGTTTTTCCAGATGGACTTTACCCAATTATTTGTCCTAGTGGCTATATACCACACAAATGAGTTGTAAAATCCTATAAGAAATGCTACAAAGCTCTTTGAATTTCTTCAACAAGTAAAAAAGATAATTGTGGATGACCAGTCAAGAAATTGCATCGTATGTAATACATAACACACTGAAAAAGTGCACAGCTTTACCCACAGAATGATCTAGTAACAAACTTGACAGTTATGCAGCATTCAATAAGGTTATAAAATCCATAACAGATTAATAAACCCTCCTACTGACCGTGACAAACAACTTGTTTGAAAAGAACGAATGCTAATAACTACCTTTCTTAGATGTGCTATAATAATCTTGTCGTGGTCGGATGGAATGATCCATTGAACCAGGGGAGTGATAGATTTGTTTCTGATGTAAAAATAACAAGCAAGTCTTATAGGTTCCTCATTAAGTTCATAAAACTCTGGAAAAGTTTTCATTTTCTGATGCCAGTAGGGTCGCTCTATTTAGGTCAACAGTTAACAAACGAACATCAATACCTTGCTCGTCAGCATCCGCATCAGGAATAGAATCGTCGTGAATCGCCTTGTAATACGGTCCAGGAGCTTTAAAATACAGAAATATATATTTTATTTACCATCCACTTCCAGACATATTGAACTGCATTCTTTAGACATATTACTGGAATCAAAACATTCATATACACCACTATCCTCCAGTCTGAAGTCATATATTTGAAGTTTATTTTGTAAAGGCAAAGCTTTTCCTAGTCTGAAAAATAAAAATGAAAATATTTCTCTACTTCCTGATAATATGAGAAGAGTTTAAATTCCAAGCAATACTTGGACCATCACAAGAACAGTGTAACATTCGACTTTCGTACATTGGTTGTGGTTGGCATTCAAGACTGCATGAGAAATGGAGGCTTATCATGAAAAGACAGTAGCCTAACAAACCGCTAACAAATAGCACTTGCATAGTCAGTGGCGGAATCACACGCGAAAATGCGTCAGACAGTTGAAAAGTGAGACAGTACTCTGCTGGCGTCTCAATATCCAATGTCTTGGTCACGAGTTAGCAGAAAGTGATCAGTTTCTTTGCACTCGCTTCTTTCTTCTTCATTAAAGATTCAGTCACTTGATAATTTCTAGTTGGTGCTAGTCTAGTAAATCAATTTCACAAGCTGCTTGTGATTTTTTTATCTTATAATCTGTTTATGTTTGAATTGAGCACACACGTCCTACCCTCTACAAACCTGTGTTGGGCCTCGTGAAAAATGTATGTTTTTCCCATATTTTCCCCACTTGATCGGTACAAGTTTCTGCATTACCTTTATTAGGAGCAGTGGACTGCAGCATTTTGATCTTTCCTACTTTGAACACTGCAGAGGGAATAGCTTTCTATCAGAAGTAGTTGCAATTCTTGTGAGTGTCTGATTAGGTCTCTTAACGGTGGACGGGTGGATTTTTTAAACTTTCATAGGTTTATATGGCAAACCTACCACATATTGATGACTCAGTATCGTTTATTTGCGACGCACTAACCCCAGTGACGGATAGTTTTATTCCAGGCGATCAGTTGGCTCACAGAGAATAATTTCAAATGTTAGAATTCGTCTCCACTAGAATAGATCTTTAGCCGTACTAACCACTCCGTTTCCCGTCCATTCACTTATCTAAGGGAATTCTCGAGATCGAAGACACGTCAATTTTGTGGACCTCGAGGCAGTGTGTTTTAAAAACATTTGGAAGCAGCTATGCGCTGATTGTAATAAGTTGTTCTCGACTGGAACAAACAGTTACTTTTACTTTGCCTGCTGCCACATTGCTGGACTTATTTTCCAGCTCTTCTAGGTTTCTGGCCTATGAGGAAACAGTGGCAGTTAGTTTTCCGTCATTATAGGCAGATTGTTTGTGACATAAAGTTGTGACAGGTCAAGTTTTATTCTATTATCTACTCATTCCTCTCGAAGTGTATGCGAATCCTTCGAACATGTCTTTGCTAAGCCTGAGGCGCAATAAACTCTAGTTTAAAACTACTATCAACTTTCGATCTGAAAAACAAAAGATTGTAATACTTGATTTAATCGACTTGACGTAGATCAATGTTATTCCTCAGTGATATCTTCATCAGTTTCAAATATAGTTACAGGATTTCACTAAAGTTTTTTACAGTGACTCTAAAAGTTTTTTGATACTGTCTTGGCGTATAGAGTTGATCTCCCACTGAGGTCTAAGAATAGTTTGTCCATTCTATCAAAACCGAAAATCCTATTCCCTTCACATTGTAGTTGTTTGAGTTTAATGACTGTGAAGTAACGTGAAAAGTCCCTTCGTGAGGCTATTGCAAAGGTTTTCGAATCGAATCTCGGGGGAGAGTCACTGTTTTGGGAGAAACGAAGACATTTGGCTGATCAAAACCTTTATATAAATATCATTAATTTCACTGTGTTATTTGTGTACATTTGTTTAACTTAACTTATGAACTTGTTTGATTTATTATTTTCGGCCATTTTGATTCCTGTTTGTCTTGGTTTGGTCATTTGGAGTTTTTGCTCCAGGAACCTATAAAATTGAAGGTATTTGTAATTATTATAATTATTGTTGTTAGTAGGACATTGGTCGTCTATTTGTAAATTGACGAACGACATTTTGGTCGATTATTTGTGAATTACAAATAAACTTCGGTACCTACTTTGAAGTTGGTTTTGTTGTCAATTATGGTTCTTGAATTGCAAATAGATCGACATACTGTACTTCAATAACAATAAGGAGCAAAACTTGGGCGTAACAGTCACCTCTCGATGATACATTCGAGCTGACATCGGAGACAGTGTCCACATAATCGCAGATAGTCGTTGGATACAGTCTGATATACAAAAAAATCACTGCTCTGTGGTATGAAGAAATGTTCGACACAGAAGCAATGTCATGCCGAATACAATATGGTTTACACTCGTTCTTATACCTAAGAGGACGAGTGGTTAGGTTTCATACCGACTGTTATTTTCGTGTGCTCGGAGTGAACTTTTGATTTGGTGGTGAAACCGTTCAACTAAACCGTTTGATGCTGGGTGGTGGGTACGTATGCTTTCCGTACCAAGCACTCGGGTTAGATGGGAGAATAAATAGGACTCAATTCGCTTTCCTCGGTCAGTCGTGACAATGAACGGACAACCATACAGCGCTATCCATCATGCTACGAAGCGATGAGCAGCTGTTTCTGCCTTAATAGACGTAACGGGAATAGCTTCGGGTCATATGATCAAGCGATCGATGCGAATGAGTATATGATCACACCAATGAGGTGTCAGTGGTCCCACAATGTCTATGTGAATGTGGTCGAAGCGAGCATCGGGAGTAGCAGAGGTGCCGATAGAGTGAGCTAAGTGCCCATGAACTTTTGATCAGTGATGCTGTAAGCGTTGCTTTGCTCACGGAAATCTTAACTCATGGATGGCTAGACGTATCGTGCAACGAAGAAGAGTGATGTGGCCACGATACCTGTATGAGATAGTCCAAACAGGGAGTAGAAAACAATAAGCGGAGGGTACGACGGGTTAAGGTAGACATGTAGAAACATCACATACCATAGTACCTGACCTAGTGGGTTTGGGTACTTCCTGGCACTGAAGGGATGTAGAGTGTGCTGCTTCTGTACAAAAACTCACATGCTTTGGCAGCGCCCTCAGCAGAGAGAACGAGCACAGGTGAGGTAAATGTAGATGAATTTTCTACCGTAGCATTTCAATTTGATTCCAATAGGTGTAGGTCGAACGCACCCTCCCTTAGTCCAATATCAAAACACAATAATTCTAGGAGGAAGTGGTCTATTTATATAAATACATGGAAATACAAACATTTACCTGACAATTATTACACCTTCCAAGTCGAAATTACTCTGTTGAGTATCCGAGTTCAAAAGAATAGGTGATGCTAGTATTAACTGCAACGATACCAAATCCAAATATGGCTGTAGCCATATTAAATATCAAGTTTAAACAACATGTGTACAGTTCAGAAGCAAACATAAAAACTTCAATATAAGTACAAAAATAGAAATAATAACAATATACAATCATAAAATCTCTGAATGGAATCAAATAAAATACCAAAATGTCAACAGAAAGAGTCCGTCATAACACAACACAGATATATACACATTGAGGGATTTTCCAAAAAGCAAAACATTCAAAATACATTCTACAGTAAATACGTTTATTAGGATATGTGACAGAGCGTCAGCAACATATAACGACTAGCCTTTAATGTGAAGAAGTTCTGTCAAGCATAACGGGATATAGTCTAAGCGTTTGCAATCTCATTATGAGTAACGATCAAACTTGGTATGCATAGCATATTTTAGGGGTTTATGGTTTGTAATAAGATGAAATCGCGACCTTTAACTGCGCGCAGGAAATGTTTGATGACGCAGTAGACTGCTAGAAGTTCAGAACCAAAAGCGCTATATCTAGTCTGCATGGAAGTGAGGCATCGTGAGAAAAATTTGAGAGTTTGTCAACCTCACAGAGATGTTTGGATGCCTGAAAATGCTGTACGTCTGGCTCCACTTAACGCAGATTACTGCGAAGTAAGCCGGTTAGTGGTCGTAATCGTTCTGCCCCATGTGGTACTAAACAGCTGTAGAAATCAGAAAAACCCTGAAATAACTCCAGTTCTTTGATTGTGAACCGTAAAGTGTACTCCATTACTGCAAGAGCTTTGTTACTACAAGGTAAAATATCCTACTGTCTAATGCAGTGGCCTAGGAATTTTATTCCCGATTTGCTAAGTTCACACTTGTCATGTCCTTAGTGCTGCCGCGACACCGTGTATGTGAGAGATGGAATAGCTATGGAAACGTGTAGCTGAGTCCAAAGCTCTGTAGTCGTCGCAGGGTCTCCGACTAACGCCACACTTCTGGCCAAACATGGGAAGAGGCGAGGCTCAAGAACGGTGAGAAGGACAAATGATACCTGTAGCTAGTAAACTTTTGAACTCATGCTTAGCTAAAACTAATTTGTCCGGTGCCCGTTTGCGAGGTTTGGCGGTGACTGGGGGATGGCGAGTGACGATGTGGTGTACCACACGACTAGTCATCGACGGAAGCTTCTCAAGAGGTTTAGTTAGCTTGAGGAAATCCATCAACTAAAGAGTGAAATACATTGTCTTATGATTGAAATAAACCAGTAATTCAGTAGGCCTATGTTCCTGTCTTGGAACGCTTCATTTTCATATTCGATGATGTGCCGATAAACTACACCTTACGTGAATGGAATAGCAACTTATGGTGCTGTAAGAAACTGATGCGGAGTATGGGTGTGTAAACATCAGAAAAGATGAACGTTGCCAGATACTGTCGTCGGGTATTCACGATGGTCTTTAGTTGTTGCTTAACGTAGGTAGGAAAGAACGTTCCTCTGTGAATGGGAGGAAATGTCTGGGAGTCGCCTCCTTGAGAAGATCATTGAACTTGAGTGGATTAGTGCTTCCAGTTCGTAAGCATATTTTAAGGCTGGCTCGTGATGTGGCTGATCTCAAATTCAGGTTCCAATGCCGCAAACCATACTTCTACATCGTGGGGAATTAAGGAAACAGGTCGAAATGTGATGACCTGCACCTTGGAGTCTATTATATCATCCGAATTTTTATGACTATCCTCCATTTCGAGGCGTTATTGAGATTATAATATTTAATAATAATAATAATAATAATTTATACTCAAATAACAAACATGCTACAAGAGACATGCCAATTTACAGGCAAGATCAAAATGTTAAGATTAGCTACATATTTCTTTTAAAACGGCATACAGTTACTGAAACATTTCACAAGATTCATTGTTTTCTTAAAGATGGAATGTACAATGCGAATAATTGGCGCAAGTTACGAAGGTTGCGTTACGACAATCATCTTATGGACTGAGAAACGATTCATGGTAGAGATAGGTTTTCATATAACAAGAATTGATGCGATAAATGTACAAAGGTCTGGTTGATATTCATCAGCTAATGATTTCACATGTTCTTGGGTAGGG